GTCAATTTCTATCTATATTAACGCTACGGTCTACTTCTAATATTTCTGCACTTTTTTCCTCAAAGGTCTATTAATTTTTTGATTTTGAACTTCTTTTCTCTGAGGTCTTTCAGATTTTCTTGCTTTGGATCTGATATCCCTGGTCATCTCCCACATGTTTCTTACTTAAAACACTTAAATCGGTAAGATGTAACATCAGTTTTGATCATTGTATAAACAACCCGAGATGGCTCAATGGAAACATGTTGGACAAGCAAATCAAAGGTAAGGAGTTCGAATCTCACACAGCGACTATGAAAGATTGGTGGTTTCAGGTAGGCTAACCGCAGTGTAATAGTAGCAATACCCACGGTGTATGGATGCAGTGGTAAGAACAGGGGCAACCGCGGTTAGAGCTATAGAAACAAATGTAGAATGAAGAAACAGAGAAGGACGGAAAACGACCAGATATCGACGATAACATCAAGAAAATCGTTTTTGTAAAAAAAACCGCTTGAAGCCGCGGTATGAAAAACCGCGATTTTGACCGATGTGTAAAAGCCTAATAAACGGTCTGACTCCCGCGATGTATTTAAACCGACAAAAGCCGCAGGTTTTTATACCGCGGTTAACCGCGGTTTTATTCAAAAAATTTCTCCGTGCTAAGAATTTTTCTGCTTTCATCCTTCGACTACATGCTTCACACGTGGACAACCGTTTAGAACAATGAATTTTGCTATTTCGATGACTAAATAGATCAAAATAAAAGATGCGATACGCTAGATGTCTGTTCACTCGTCTTTTTCAACTCGATGTCTTCTTTTTCTGCATTCTATAAGCACAAGGATGACTCAAAGGATCACGAAATGAAAAAGACTGATTCTCATTCTTTTTCATTTCACAATTGTTGCTAGAGGCATAAATATTGCCTATTGAAGCATAGAACAACTAAGCCCTTTTTTCTGCTTCAATCAGAGCAATACTGCCGATGTGACACGTTATGCTTTAAGGGTGCCTTCTCTCCCTCTTTTTGCAAAAAACTTTCATTTTTTTCCATTTTGAGCTGTTACATTACGACCCCTCCAACAAAAAATTGGTTCGATTAAGCCTAAATTTTTACCACAGATACTTTTCAGACCTTATCTCAGGAGTAAAATTTTTTCTGCTATAAATTTGGGCTCAATCGGACGTGTGTTNAACCACCACCACTCACTGAACCCTCCTGCTCCCCGCCGCGCGGCGCGTCGTGGGGCCCCCCCCCCCGCCGGCCCCGCCGCCCCCCCGCGCCCCCCCCCCCCCCCCCCCCCCCCCCCCCCCCCCGGGGGGGGGGGCGCGCCCCCCTATCATTAAGTATATATCAAATCTTGCAAGACAGGGCTGAGTAAAGAAAAGTCCTCAAAATAATTTTTTATATATTCGTTAAATCTGTGGACACAAGATTTAATAATTGATTTAGCAGTTACGTTCTGCAATTCTTCTGTAGCAGTCACTTTAGCAGTTTTACTGGAAAAATATTTTACAAAGGTGAAGTGGTGCAATAGGATTTTAATTTTTCAACGAAAAATTGCGCAGATCTCAGGTGTCTATATCGTTATTATCGGAAATTGATAGTGAATATACACAACTGGTATTTAGACACTTTAGTTTACAAATCCTTCTCTGATGGTTCTCAATTAAGTAACCAAACAAAATGATTAGTTTAACATGAAGGTTTTCTACAACAGCATACTGCTTCTAACTCAAAAATTTTAGATTTCATAAGATAACAGAAAAACACATTCTAAAAATCTGACAGAAAATATAATTGTTAACATGTCAATGTTTTACATACAAATGATTAAAATCACTTGTTAAATTTCAAATGGTTTATTGAATGTAAGTGATGTTATATCTAACGCCATTTTTGTTGATCTTCTAGCATAGTTTTTACAGTCAATCGGTAGTTTGATCGGTTGATTGTCGCATAACGATGTCAATATTATGTTTATATCACTGTCAGCAAGAGCTTTCATTTCATAACATGTCAACCAATCTGGACAAAAACCAAATAATTGATATTCTATTTCTGTCCCAGATTCAGATATTCCTGCTTCACGAAAATCCACTGGTGTACTAATATTCATATCATTCAATATTAATCTTAACATTGTGTGCATAAATTCGTGCAAGATTACACTAAACAGATCTAATACTAACAATGACTGTAATCGATTGTCATGTTGTATTTTATATCTAGCAAGAAAATGAGCTGCATTTATGTAAACTACCCTATACAAAAAATTCCAGTGCGGCACTGGTAAAAATCAGTGCGGCACTGCCAGTACGCACCGGTGCATGCCATCGGTCATTGGAACTGGCTGGCACCGGTGCGCATCCGTGCCCAGCAAGTGCCGAACCAGTGCCGATTGGCACCCGTGCGCACCGGTGCCGATATATTTCTGCTGAAAGAGTGCCGCACTGCTAAAAGTCAGTGCCGCATGGGTGCTGCACTAGCAAACATCGATGCCGCACTGATAATTTATTTAATCAATTTAATTAGTTCTTTATTATGATTGTTTATGCTGAATTTTGTGTTAGAGTGCGGCACTGATCAGTAGCATATCGACATGCCAAAACCATGCGGCACTGATCAGTAGCATATCGACATGCCAAAACCATGCGGCATTACCTCGGCACTTCTCTTATGAGAAGGAAAAAATGAAGTCAGAAAGACATTCGAAATATTAGAAGTAGACCGTAGCGTTAATATAGATAGAAATTGACAAAACAAAATGGTGATTGAAAACAAAACTTCGGCACTGGTGCGCATCGGTGCGAGATTTTTACATTCTTTCTAGCACCGATGCGCATCGGTGCCGAGAAAAAATAATTATTCGGCACCGGTGCGCACCCGTGCACAACCAGTGCCGATAAAATATTTTTTTGTAGGGTACTTTACGTCCACAAAAACCACGTAAATTTTAAATTATTAGCTGCCTGTATAAATTGTCGCGTCGTGAGTCGCGATTTTTATTGCTGAGTTGCGGTCTAAGTAGAGGAGTTTTAAAATGCCGCGGTGCGAGTCTTGGTTGTTCTGCGTTATACCTTACATTATGTTTCTAAACTTATATAAAACACACATAGTGAGAAAAGGAAAAGAACAGACCGCCTGTATGTCTGTTGTGCTCATGGTTACGTTGTTGTCTTCTTTTGTCGTTAATCTGTCGTACACACGTGTGTATGTTTCCTTTTAATTTTAATAGTCATTTCTTTTTTGTTATCGTAGAGTTAAGATCACTTTATCGTGTTGTCTATTGCAGTCATACACTGTTTTCAATTTTTTGTTTTGACATATAAATTTTAAATACTGAATAATATTAAATCTCAAATAATATATAACTAAAATACTGGTAAGTACACAGCAGTTTCAGTGTGTGGAAGCAGAAAAAAATAAGCTCTTTCGATTTTACTACATTTGTTACAGAGCTGAGCCGTTTTTCTCCTATTTTTTGGAAGTCAAAAACTGGGTTACCTTTGTCAGAAAATGCACAAAATCTAAGAGATTCGCTTATGTAGGTTCAATTAGCATTTGGACCGTGTTAAAAGATCTCAAAATAAATGCACTAACGTGAGAAATGCACCAAATCGTTGATTGTCGTCTCTATATGAGTTTCCTCGGTGTAATATCGCTTTGTTGTTGGGGACTTACAGGATGTAGCGAAGATCAGTTCGGTCCTGTTTAACGCACAGAGGATAGCGGCATAGTTCCAGAGCACCTCATTCGCAGGATGCTAGATTAGCTCTCGGCTCTAGCAACGAACTGTTCATAGCGTTAGTATTTCTCGAATACACATACTCTGTAAGTACAAGTGTGATGTTTCATCACATACAGCAAACGTTTCCTTACGGTAAAATCCATAGACGAACAATACGATATCAATCTATTTCACGTATATTTTGAGATCTAATTCCAGTCACATGGCGAACCAGAATTGAAAAATATAGATGAATACCGTTAAATCAATGGTTGATGAAGCATTCACTTGCGAATTTGATTTTTCAAAATACCTTCTGACTTAGCCACACTTCAAAAAAACATTTAGTTCAACTTTGTAACAATAGAAAAGGCGAAAGGACTTCCTTACTTTCTGCCAGATACGGGGTCATCCACATAATGGATGACGCTTATACTGTTCTGAAATAACTGTGTACTTGTTGCGTGCACCATGTTCCGAAGAGTAAGCCGGTAAAACATGGTGCACTGAAGTGCCAGACTGGATGCTGAAAAAGTATCCTTCCTCTCTGAAATACAAACATCTGATATTTTAGGTGATATCTTGTTTTGTGCATCTATAGTACTGTCAAAAATTATAAGATCACCCGATATGTTGAAGTTTTAGACTTTCTGGCATGTTCTGAACTGCATCCTCGAACAAGCTTCAACATGAAATATATATTTCATATTATGCCGTCAAAATTCCCTAAAATTGCTTTATTTTCATTTTAAAAAAGATTGTATTAAAAAAGCGACTTTTCATGTGCCGCGATTTCATCCCGAAAGTTGACTTGGATATGTTTTTTCCTGACGAAATCGGTGTTTCTGCAGAAGCACGTCATGTTATCTCGTGACAAAATCGGTGTTTCTCCACAAGCACTGCATGTTTTTTACTGAGAAAATCGGTGTTTCTTCACAGGAACTTCCTGCTTTCTCCTAAAGAAATCCTTGTTTCTCCACAAGCGCTTCAAGTTTTTTCCTGGTGAAATCGCTGTTTCTCCAAAAGCACTTCACGTTTTGTCGTGATCAAATCGGTGTTTCTTCATAAGCACTGCAAGTTTTTTCCTGACAAAATCGCTGTTTCCCTACAAGCAACTGATGCTCTTTCGTAAAGAACTCCGTGTTCGACACAAGAACTTGATGTTTTTTCCTGATGAAACTGGTGTTTCTTCGCAACAACTTCATTGTGTTTCCTGAAGAAATCCTTGTTTCTCCGCAAGCGCTTCATGTTTGCTCCTTATAAAATCGATGTTTCCCTACAAGAACTCCATGCAGTTTCCTGACGAAATCGGTGTTTCTGCAGAAGCACGTTATGTTATCTCGTGACGAAATCGGTGTTTCTGCAAAAGTACCTCATCTTTCGTCCTGACAAAATCGGTGTTTCTCCACGAGCACTGTATGTTTTTTCTTGAAGAAATCGGTGTTCCTCCACAAACAGTTCCAGTTTTTTACCCATGAAATCGGTATTTCTCCAGGAGGACTTCATGCTGTTTGCTGAAGACATCGGTGTTTCTTCACGACAACATCATGTTCTTTCCTGAAGAAATCCGAGTATCTCCACAAGCAGAAATCGCTGTTTCTCAACGATAACATCATTTTGCTGAAGAAATCCGAGTATCTCCAGAAGACGAAATGAATGTTTCTCGAAAAGGACTTCATGTTATGTCCTGACAAAATCGCTGTTTCTCTACAAGAAACTTCATGTTTTGCACTTCATGTTTTTTCCTGATGAAATCGATGTTTCTGCACGAGCACTGTATGGTTTTTCCTGATAAAATCGGTGTCTGTTCACAGCAACTCCATGCTTTCTCCTAAAAATCTATGCTTATACACAAAAGCTTCATGCTGTTTTCTGCAGAAATCGGTGTTTCTCCTCGACAACTTCATGTTTCTCCACAAGAACTTCATGCTTTTCCCTAAAGAAATCGGTGTTTCCAACTTCATACTGTTTCCTGAAGAAATACCTGTTTCCGCACGACAACTTGATGTTTTTTCCTGTTGGAGTCGGTGTTTCTCCGAAAGAACTTCTTGTTTCTCCGCAAGCGCTTCATGTTTTTTCCGGAAGAAATCGGTGTATCTCCACAAGAAGTTGATGTTGTTTCCTGAAGAGATCGGTGTTTGTGAGGCCTGAATTTCGTGTTTAGAAATAGCCAATTCTTCAGAAAAAAATCGGAGGTGAAGTCCTTCCAAGAACATGAGGTCCTTCTTATAGAAAACTTTCTTCATTGACAGTTGCTCAACGCCGGTTGAATGCATTGAACGTAGTGAATTACAAATTTCTGCTTGAAAATTGAAAACTGAAGACGGCATCATTAGATCGTCAGAGAAGAAAAGTACGCACAGAAGATTATTTTATCCGCATGCACGAGAGTTTTTAAAATTGAACGTATAGAGACATACAGCTTGTTAATCATCATGTCTGTTTTTAAATAACCTCCTAGCATAAAATCAAGTCTTTCACGTTTTCTAATCTGGTCACACTGATGAACAATGCATTGTAATATACGGTTTTTCGCGTAGCAACAGAGCTTAGAAAACCAAAGAATGAAAAATATTGCTATTCTATACTCGGTCGAAACCGGTTAATATACGCTAGGGCTGAGCACCATTGGGACTGAGAGTGGAAATTTCTATATCCATTATAGACTCGTGTCTTTGTGGTGAATAAATGTGAGCAAGAAAATAAAAAGTGTTTAATGCACATCTAGTTGTGACTGTCCATGCAATGCATACGGACACTCTTTTTTGCATTTCTCGTTAAAACTATTCTCCAGTGAGCCTTTGTATATTGATATAAGAAAATATACTTTTAAACAGCAGAGCACAGTGGGTATTTTTCTATAGAGCAGGCGAACATATACTGTAGAACTGGTATGAAAGCCTATAAACATGTTTTTCTATTGGTTTTCGAATATGCTCTTTCTAATGATGAGATTTTCAGAACTCAGAAGTAATTCCTTGTGGGTTTTCTAGAGACCGGATCTCAGGAAAACCCATAAAAAATATTTTTACATTTCGAAAACCTCACTATTGGAGAGATCATCTTCGAAAACCTCTAAAAAATGTGTTTATACACTTGCGTACTATTGCTAAAATAAATATCCAACTTCCTAAGCAAAATTTGCTGCGGACAGGCTTTCAACTGTAT